GATAGATAGACAGATGGTTGGATAGATAGATAGATAGATAGATAGATAGATAGATAGATAGATAGATAGATAGATAGATAGATGGTTGGATAGATAGATAGATAGATAGATAGATAGATAGATAGATAGATAGATGGTTGGATAGATAGATAGATAGATAGATAGATAGATAGATAGATAGATAGATAGATAGATAGATAGATAGATAGATAGATGGTTGGAGAGATAGATAGATAGATAGATAGATAGATAGATAGATAGATAGATAGATAGATAGATAGATAGATAGATAGATGGTTGGATAGATAGATAGATAGATAGATAGATATATAGATGGTTGGATAGATAGATAGATAGATAGATAGATAGATAGATAGATAGACAGACAGATAGATAGACAGATAGATAGATAGATAGATAGATAGATAGATAGATAGATGGTTGGATAGATAGATAGATAGATAGATAGATAGATAGATAGATAGATAGATAGATAGATAGATAGATAGATAGATAGATAGATAGACAGACAGATGGTTGGATAGATAGATAGATAGATAGATAGATAGATAGATAGATAGATAGATAGATAGATAGACAGATGGTTGGATAGATAGATAGATAGATAGATAGATAGATAGATAGATAGATAGATAGATAGATAGATAGATAGATAGATAGATAGATGGTTGGATAGATAGATGGTTGGATAGATAGATAGATAGATAGATAGATAGATAGATAGATAGATAGATAGACAGATGGTTGGATAGATAGATAGATAGATAGACAGATAGATAGATAGATAGATAGATAGATAGATAGATGGTTAGATAGATAGATAGATAGATAGATAGATATATAGATGGTTGGATAGATAGATAGATAGATAGATAGATAGATAGATAGATAGATAGATAGATAGATAGATAGATAGATAGATAGATAGATAGATAGATAGATGGTTGGATAGATAAATAGATAGATAGATAGATAGATAGATAGATAGATAGATAGATAGATAGATAGATAGACAGATGGTTGGATAGATAGATAGATAGATATATAGATAGATAGATAGATAGATAGATAGATAGATAGATAGATAGATAGATAGATAGATAGATAGACAGATGGTTGGATAGATAGATAGATAGATAGATAGATAGATAGATAGATAGATAGATAGATAGATAGATAGATAGATAGATAGATAGATAGATAGATAGATAGATAGATAGATAGATAGACAGATGGTTGGATAGATAGATAGATAGATAGATAGATAGATAGATAGATAGATAGATAGATAGATAGATAGATAGATAGATAGATGGTTGGATAGATAGATAGATAGATAGATAGATAGATAGATAGATAGATAGATAGATAGATAGATAGATAGATAGATAGATAGATAGATGGTTGGATAGATAGATAGATAGATAGATAGATAGATAGATAGATAGATAGATAGATAGATAGATAGATAGATAGATAGATAGATAGATAGATGGTTGGAGAGATAGATAGATAGATAGATAGATAGATAGATAGATAGATAGATAGATAGATAGATAGATGGTTGGATAGATAGATAGATAGATAGATAGATAGATAGATAGATAGATAGATAGATAGATAGATAGATAGATATATAGATGGTTGGATAGATAGATAGATAGATAGATAGATAGATAGATAGACAGACAGATAGATAGACAGATAGATAGATAGATAGATAGATAGATAGATAGATAGATAGATAGATGGTTGGATAGATAGATAGATAGATAGATAGATAGATAGATAGATAGATAGATAGATAGATAGATAGATAGATAGATAGACAGACAGATGGTTGGATAGATAGATAGATAGATAGATAGATAGATAGATAGATAGATAGATAGATAGATAGACAGATGGTTGGATAGATAGATAGATAGATAGATAGATAGATAGATAGATAGATAGATAGATAGATAGATAGATAGATAGATAGATAGATAGATAGATGGTTGGATAGATAGATAGATAGATAGATAGATAGATAGATAGATAGATGGTTGGATAGATAGATAGATAGATAGATAGATAGATAGATAGATAGATAGATAGATAGACAGATGGTTGGATAGATAGATAGATAGATAGATAGATAGATAGATAGATAGATAGATAGATAGATAGATAGATAGATGGTTGGAGAGATAGATAGATAGATAGATAGATAGATAGATAGATAGATAGATAGATAGATAGATAGATAGATAGATAGATAGATAGATAGATAGATAGATGGTTGGATAGATAGATAGATAGATAGATAGATAGATATATAGATGGTTGGATAGATAGATAGATAGATAGATAGATAGATAGATAGATAGATAGATAGATAGACAGACAGATAGATAGACAGATAGATAGATAGATAGATAGATAGATAGATAGATAGATGGTTGGATAGATAGATAGATAGATAGATAGATAGATAGATAGATAGATAGATAGATAGACAGACAGATAGACAGACAGATGGTTGGATAGATAGATAGATAGATAGATAGATAGATAGATAGATAGATAGATAGATAGATAGATAGATAGACAGATGGTTGGATAGATAGATAGATAGATAGATAGATAGATAGATAGATAGATAGATAGATAGATGGTTGGATAGATAGATGGTTGGATAGATAGATAGATAGATAGATAGATAGATAGATAGATAGATAGATAGATAGATAGATAGATAGATAGATAGATAGATAGACAGATGGTTGGATAGATAGATAGATAGATAGACAGATAGATAGATAGATAGATAGATAGATAGATAGATAGATAGATAGATGGTTAGATAGATAGATAGATAGATAGATAGATAGATATATAGATGGTTGGATAGATAGATAGATAGATAGATAGATAGATAGATAGATAGATAGATAGATAGATAGATAGATAGATGGTTGGATAGATAAATAGATAGATAGATAGATAGATAGATAGATAGATAGACAGATGGTTGGATAGATAGATAGATATATAGATAGATAGATAGATAGATAGATAGATAGATAGATAGACAGATGGTTGGATAGATAGATAGATAGATAGATAGATAGATAGATAGATAGATAGATAGATAGATAGATAGACAGATGGTTGGATAGATAGATAGATAGATAGATAGATAGATAGATAGATAGATAGATAGATGGTTGGATAGATAGATAGATAGATAGATAGATAGATAGATAGATAGATAGATAGATAGATAGATGGTTGGATAGATAGATAGATAGATAGATAGATAGATAGATAGATAGATAGATAGATAGATAGATGGTTGGAGAGATAGATAGATAGATAGATAGATAGATAGATAGATAGATAGATAGATAGATAGATAGATAGATGGTTGGATAGATAGATAGATAGATAGATAGATAGATAGATAGATAGATAGATAGATAGATAGATAGATAGATAGATAGATAGATATATAGATGGTTGGATAGATAGATAGATAGATAGATAGATAGATAGATAGATAGATAGATAGACAGACAGATAGATAGACAGATAGATAGATAGATAGATAGATAGATAGATAGATAGATAGATAGATGGTTGGATAGATAGATAGATAGATAGATAGATAGATAGATAGATAGATAGATAGATAGACAGACAGATGGTTGGATAGATAGATAGATAGATAGATAGATAGATAGATAGATAGATAGATAGATAGATAGATAGATAGATAGACAGACAGATGGTTGGATAGATAGATAGATAGATAGATAGATAGATAGATAGATAGATAGATAGATAGATAGATAGACAGATGGTTGGATATATAGATAGATAGATAGATAGATAGATAGATAGATAGATAGATAGATAGATAGATAGATAGATGGTTGGATAGATAGATAGATAGATAGATAGATAGATAGATAGATAGATAGATAGATAGATAGATAGATAGATAGATAGATAGATGGTTGGATAGATAGATAGATAGATAGATAGATAGATAGATAGATAGATAGATAGATAGATGGTTGGAGAGATAGATAGATAGATAGATAGATAGATAGATAGATAGATAGATAGATAGATAGATAGATAGATAGATGGTTGGATAGATAGATAGATAGATAGATAGATAGATAGATAGATAGATAGATAGATATATAGATGGTTGGATAGATAGATAGATAGATAGATAGATAGATAGATAGATAGATAGATAGATAGATAGATAGATAGACAGACAGATAGATAGACAGATAGATAGATAGATAGATAGATAGATAGATAGATAGATGGTTGGATAGATAGATAGATAGATAGATAGATAGATAGATAGATAGATAGATAGATAGATAGATAGATAGATAGACAGACAGATGGTTGGATAGATAGATAGATAGATAGATAGATAGATAGATAGATAGATAGATAGATAGATAGATAGATAGATAGACAGATGGTTGGATAGATAGATAGATAGATAGATAGATAGATAGATAGATAGATAGATAGATAGATAGATAGATAGATGGTTGGATAGATAGATAGATAGATAGATAGATAGATAGATAGATAGATAGATAGATGGTTGGATAGATAGATAGATAGATAGATAGATAGATAGATAGATAGATAGATAGATAGATAGATAGATATAATCACATTTTCAAATATATACAGATTCAAAAACAATTATTTTAGATTGTAATATGTTTTCACTATATAACTGTTTTTACTGTATTTTCAAATATATGCCGCCTTGTAATCCTATTCTCACTAAAGCTGCATATAGTCAATCACAAAATTCAGACTAACGACTAACTGACCGTGTATCAGATGAGTGCAGAGCTGAACAGTGGCGGCCCTGCGCCCCCGTGTGGCGATCAGTGGAGTCGCTGTCCCTCCACACCAGCAGGCGGCGACACACACACACACACACACACACACACACACAGACCGCGCGAGGGAACCCGGCGGAGAGGCGTCATGTGCTGAGATGAGGTGGTAGGTTATAATAAATGTGATGTTTACTTCTCAATAACAGCTTACAGTTATAAACACACGACAGCGAACAGTGTTCATGAATCATGATGTTACAAACAGAAACTTTTATGCATAAATAAGAAGATCCGTGTTGAGAGTATTTAATCTAACAGATGAATATCATCTACTTGTCGACTTTCCCCCCGCGGAACATTTAATTTGATCTCATTAGCTCCTCATTATGGTTTTTCTTTTTACAGTGTCTCTAGAGTTTCTTCAGCGACTCATTCGCTTGACTCTTCTCTGGGAAGCGCTTTGGTTTACATGTGTATAAATCACGATTATTGTTGTTAATATTTGCATGTACTTTCACTGTCTTTGATTCATATAACGATCTGAAATATATGTAATTAATAGATAAGACTCTTTTATGTGGATAAATATCACAAAAAACATGTCCCGAGTTGAGTTGAATATTTTACCCCACATTTAAAAGAAAAAAATAAGAATGTATTTTGCAGAAAGAAAACAATTTACTATTATTATTAAAATTGGTTAAAATTCTGGATAATTGAGTTTGTTTTTTTGGTTTGATATAGAGATCATGATTTTCACATTATTCTGAATAAACAACTAAACAAACTAATTTACTAGAGGTTGCTGCAATCTATTGAAAAATATTTAATTATTATTATTTATTTTTTTAAATGTGGTTTGAATGAATGATTCAGTGACTCACTCATAAAGACTTTACTTTTTTAATTACTGGATGAATCAATGTTTTTGAAGGAATCTTTTGAATTAATGACTCACTCATACAGATTTCACTCGTTTCATTACTGAATGAATCAGCGTTTTTAAATGAATCTCTTGAGTAAATGATTCAATGACTCACTCTTAAAGACTCGTTTCATAACTGGATGAATCAGTTGCTGCGTCCCAATTCGCCTACTTATACTACGCCCTAAAAGAATGTACTCTTTTTGTGAAGAAAAAGTACATACTTTTGAGTGTGTAGCAAAAGAGTAGGCAAGCTTTGGGACATACTACTTCGTCATCTTTAACGGACAGATCTGTCGCGTGCATCCGGTCACCGTAAACTGCCCATCTCGTCACAGTTAAAATCCTCCATTCAATCTAAGTTAATTTCTTACGGTTTCGGAGAGAAATGTTGTAGCACGTTCATCTGCCAGTCGTGGGTCTTTCATGCCGAGACTCTCCTCATGTGTTTGGAATTTGAATATAATAATGCATTTAAAAGTTAATGGCTAAACATATCTTTGCAAAAGTTCACAATGCTGCTGCAGATGCAATATAATGTGGACAACATTGAATAAATACATTTTCGTCAGGTTAGATACTGATAATTAATCACTCAAACCCCTTTATCTAAACCTCTCTACATAACCGTCGGACTCGCGCGTCCTCCATGTCTGTAGTTTTTGAACACTTTTTACTCGTGTTTGTAGTTCTAACCGAATCCTCGTCCAACGCGCGATGGGTTGTGGGCAATATCAGCCGTTAGCGTGCGCATCGATCTGCACTTCGGATTCTGACCGGATATAGTAGACCATCCGGGTCTCTTTGGGACACTCATTTCAACATACTACGATTTGGGACGTACTAATTCTATTTTCGAATACTATTTAGGACGGATAGTATGAGAATTGGGACGCAGCAAGTGTTTTTGAATGAATCTCTTGAGTGAATGATTCAATGACTCACTCTTAAAGACTTGTTTCATAACTGGATGAATCAGTGTTTTTGAACGAATCTCTTGAGTGAATGATTCAGTGACTCACTCTTAAAGACTTGTTTCATAACTGGATGAATCAGTGTTTTTGAACGAATCTCTTGAGTCTATGATTCAATGACTCACTCATTAATCCTTCACTCGTTTCATAACTGGATGAATCAGTGTTTTTGAACGAATCTCTTGAGTGACCGTACTCGTCAAAGGTTTAACAGACGTATTTGAATCGTCATTTAGAAATAAGATCGCGTGGGTGGGCGTTTGAATCGAGATCGCGATCTTTTAACACTTAATCGTGCAGCTCTGCTAGACATTGAACAAAGGTTCCAGCGAGCTCCAATAGTGAAGTGATCTCTTCTCCGATCAACAGGTGTGGTCAGTGATGGCACAGAGGATCCTCCACTTCCTGTGTTCCGTCAGGAGATGTCCTCCACTTCCTGCGGCGTCTCGCTTCTGCAGCTCCAAGCCGCCGGATCTCCCCCTGCCTCCGGCGACCTCGGAGAACGAGTCTCTGGTGGAGACGCTGTCCAGCATGGGCGTGGACCTGGAGTCGGCCCGGCGCCGGCAGCCCGGCGTGCTCCGCAAGCAGCTCACCAACGAGCAGGGCCTCGCGCTGTTCCTGCGGAGCAAAGGAGCCGACCCCGAGGCCATCGCCAGCATCATCTCCCGCTTCCCGCGGTCCATCACGCGCACCTGCGCGCACCTGGAGGAGCGCTGGACGCTGTGGAGGAACGTGTTCCGGAGCGACCGCGAGGTGGTGGGCGTGCTCTCGCGCTCCCCCGAGTCCTTCTTCCGCTCCAGCGACAACACGAACCTGGAGGAGAACATCGTGTTCCTGATGTCTCTGGGAATCACGCGGAGAGACTTGCACCGGCTGCTCACCACCGCGCCGCGGACCTTCTCCAACAGCGTGGAGCTGAACCGGAACATGGTGGAGCTGCTCCAGGAGGTGTGCGCGAGGCTCGGCGGGAGGGACCCGCAGGCCTTCGCCAGAACCATCATCTCCAGGAACCTCTACATCTTCATCCGAAGCACCAACCGGATCAGGGCCAACGTGGATTTCCTGATGCGCGATCTGAACTTGAGCAACGCGGAGGCGCTGGGGTTGTTCCAGAGCCACGGCGCGCAGATCCTGGACCTGTCGCACGAGAGCCTGAAGAGGAACGCGGAGAGCCTGCGCCGGAAGCTCGGGTCGCTGGGGTGCGGCGCCGAGCACTTCAAGGCCATGATCCTGAACTACTCGCACGTGCTGTTCCTGTCCTCGGAGCGGCTGGAGCAGAAGCTGGACTGCCTGCTGGAGGGCGGGGTGTGGGTGGAGCAGGTGGTGCTGAAGCCCAAGGTCCTGGACTTCAGCCTCGACAGCATCCGGCACCGGCTGACCCTGCTCAAGCGGCTCGGCTACGACTTCCAGAAGAGCGGCATCGCGGTGCTCGATTCCAGCAAGAAGCGCTTCAGCGCCAAACTAGAGAGGCTGGGTTCAGCGGAGGAGTGAAGAGTGGGCGCTCGCTCGCACTCCCTGTAGACGTTCGTTTACTCCTAACTTCATTTGTGAGAGGATTGTGCTTAATATTATGACACCTGTTAACTTTTCTGGGCCCTTAAAATCAGTACAAAATATGCCAAAGACGGTCATAATATGATGCCATTTAGTGTTTAGTTTGGTCAAATAAAAATGATTGACCTGATTGACATATAAACACATAAATGAACACGAGTTCATGATTATGACAGTATGTCTCATCAACTTTCTTATTTCAAAATAAAAGTCCCGTATTTCACAATATATATATATAAACACATAAATGAACATGAGCTTTTGGTTATGAATGTTTTATTAACATCATTAACTCTTATTTCAAAATAAAAGTCTGGAGGAATAAAGACCGGACGATGTTTCGTCTGATAAGACAGTGTCTTTGGATTAAACACTTTGTACAAGCATAGAAATGTCTGTTCACTTCTAACTTTATTTGTGAGTGGATTGTGCTTAATGTGAATCTTGTTCACCGTCCTGGGCCCTTAAAATCAGTACATAATTTGCCAAAGTGATTCATAATATGATGTAATTTTATTTTTGTGATATCTCCTGTATTTAGTTTGGTTAAAAAAAAATGTTGACCCGATTAACATTTAAAAAAAACTACGTGATCTCATGATTATACTCTTTTATTTCAAAATTAAAGTCCCGTTTTAAGGGGCCGTTCACACAGAATGTATTTTTCCTGTTAAAATATTACAGTACAAAGTGATTCATGCAATTCATTTTGATGATTTTCATTCCTTTTGTCACGATCTCCTATGTTTAAGTTTGGTTAAAGTAGTTGTGAGAAGTGATGTATTGACTGATCTGTGATTTTTCATTTAAGTATTATAAACACATAAATTAAAAGAGCTGAATGAGCAAAAAATATGCACTGGAAAACAATGTATATTGTTTGATGAAGAACATTAAAACTGCTCTAATATTTTCCTAATCTTGTGATTTTGTTTGTTTTATGACTGCTGTGTGATCATATATTCATCAATACTGAGGATTGTCTAATTTAATTTAAAAAAAAATCATTACGAATTGGATTATTAGCACAACAATTCAATGATACATTTTGTATATATTTTATTTTAGTATATAATATAAATTCATATAATAACATAATTTTTGTGTATATTTTTAAATGTTTCAGTTGTAGTCCCGTCATGACCCGCGGTGGCGCGTGTTGAAGCGGAACTCCAGCGTGCGCGCTCGTGTTTCCGGTCGGACACATTAGAGAGTTGCACAGCGGCAGACTGTGCATGTGCAGAGACAAACTTCACTGGTCGGTGAGTGATGATGATCAATAATAATAATCAGACATAAATCTGAGCTGATCCCAGAGCGGCTGCACGATCGGTGTTTAGTAACACACACATGTTCTTCAGATACGCGAGTTGTTTTCGACTGTCATGATCTTTTAACCCTTTTAATCCAGTGTGGCTCTATGTGCAATACATCTGAAGAGGCTTTATTAGCACGGTATCATCTGAGGGACACTTATAGTGTTAGAGTAAGTCCAATGGTCCTTACAACGATTAACATGTAAATATGTCATGTCAGAGCGGTTCAGTCTTTCAGATGCCACGGACTCATCCACAAATATAAAAGGCATATTTTCTCTATGTCTAAATATTATTAATTATATTATTTGGAAAATATTTAGGTTTTATTAAGTTACATGTAAAACAAATTCTACTCATTATAGTTAAAAAAAAAACTGTAGGAGAACTTTGTTACATTTATTTTTGATTTAATTATATATATATATATTTTAAATTTCTCAATTTATTTTAATCTTATTTGTATTATTTATTTATTTTCGCATGAGGTGTTCTGTAAATGAGGGCGGTGGTCTTATGTTAATGAGCTCATGATTATGACAGAACGTCACATCAACATCATCAGATCGTTTATTTCAAAATAAAAGTCCTGTTGTTTTAACAATATACATAGTACTTGTACTGTTGGATGTATTTATTTATTCAATTACATATTTTGCACTGTTTTCAAAGGCCTGCCTGCTGCAGATGAGTTAATATGTAAATGTATTTCAAAATAAAAGTCCCGTTTTCCTTCAGACATTTGACCCATTAGGACAGTGTTTCTGGTTTCCCAGCAGGTTTGAGTGTTCATGATGGAATCGGCTGCGGAGGTCGAGAAAGGAATCGCCCCTATTAAAGAACAGTACGTTTATATACTGTATTCTGATTATATTAATAATCACAGCGTCTGTGGAGCGATGTGTGTATGAGTGACTCGTGTCTGATGTACAGGTTCCTCACCACCAAAGAGCAGTTCCACGCGTTCCTGGACTCGGGCCGGCCGGGCCAGAAGAGTGAAGATGCGGATGGAGACTCTGGAGAACCGGAGCAGAAGAGGATCCGGCTGGACAGCGAAGCAGCGCCGGAGGAACCGGACAAGAAGGACAAGAAGAGGATGAGAGGACAGAATAAATCCAGACCTCGCATGAAACCTCAGAGCTACGAAGGCAGACGCTTGTGTCCCTCAATCATTCAGGTGAGATATATATATATATAGTGGTAATGGTTACCAAACAGGTTTCCAAACACTTCCCCCATTCCCCCAGTGTTACTATAGTTAACTAAAGTGCTTAAAGTCCCCCTGTGGTGTAAATCCAGCGTTTAATGTTGTTTATGTGTCTATGTGGTGTTTTTAATACGCTATAAGACACACCATGTGTAAGTTCATAAGTCGACAGCATTGCTGAGTATTTCCTCCTTAAAACTGCAGTGAACCAAAGACAGTCTCAAAAACACGGTTTGAAATCGCTGGTGTTTCTGACGTCACAAACGACCTTGTAACCAATCAGATCAACGTGTGATCGTCAACCAGTGGATCTCTGAGCTGAGTGAGTGAGTGGAGGCGGGGCTCATCTGCATATTCATAGAACCGCGCATACTAAATGAGGCACGGGTGTCGAGTTACATTCAAGATATTTTAAGGCATGAAGACATATCAAGGAAAAAACTTAATTTTGGTGAGTTTTAAGAGATAAGATTGACTACGGGGGACTTTGAGCGATATCTGTGGTTGGGTTGATCGTAATGCTCCTGTAACGCTACACTGGTTAACATTATCCGCGTGTCTTTCAGGAGCGAGACACTAAATGCTTCTTCGGCGATAAGTGCCGCTTCCTCCACGACGTGTCGGAGTACATGCGCAGTAAAGCGGAGGATCTGGGAGAGCAGTGTTACCTGTTCAACACCTTCGGCAAGTGTCAGTACGGCGTCTCCTGCAGGTTTGCTAAAGCTCACACCAGCGCCGAGATGAAGAACCTGGTGAACGCCGACCTCTACAAGCCCAACGCCGAGAGGGAGCCGGTCAGGAACCACCTGGACAAAGACCTGCAGAGACGGCTGAGGAAGAAGCAGGTGAGCTTCAGCGGCGCCGAGGCCTTCCTGAAGACCATCAGCCGAGGGAAGAAGCTGGAGGACGATCCCAGAGACGCGGATCAGGAGACACAGGTGAAACATCTGCGGTTACCTGATATCACTGAATTACGGGAACGAACACGGCTCAATATTCCTCATTTAAATAATTCATGCGCTGAATAAAGGGGCGGGGCCTGGTTGAGTTAGTCAGTAATGTGTTGAAACCAACTCTCTTGAATCCGACACTGAGTGAGTTACCCTGCAGTTCCTCCACTGGCCACTAGAGGCCGGCTGCAGAAGAGACTCAGTCCCATAGACCCGCATGTTAAAATACACAACTTTACAGCAGAAAAACACATGTTTACAGTCTGGTGCAAAAAGTGCTTTTGGTCTATCGAGCTAATGTTGCCCTTCATGACGACTGTGACGGGGGGGAATGTTTTTATAACTCATCCGTTTAAATTATATTAAGCCTTAAAGTTGTGCATAATTAAGGGCGTGGCCACTTGAGTGACAGGTGGATTGCCGCTGATGTCACTGCTAGTGTTTGTCTGCTGTGTGTTAGCGTCACGTCACCTCAGCTAATCCGCCTCGCTGCACATGTTCGTTATCCGGGAGTGACGCGGCCAAGATGGCGACGGCCGGCTCCGCCCACTTTGGGCTTCAAAAACGCTCTTCAGAAACACTACGGGTGACGACACACACACTACACACACACATATTATATACAGTCTGTTATTACCTGATATCACTTGAACGCTCAATATAAACTGGAGCGAACACGTCACAATATTCCTCATTATAATAATTAATGCGCAGAATAAAGGGGCGGGGCCTGGTTGAGTTAGTTAGTAGTGTGTTAAACTGGTGGTTATGGAAAAGGGGCGGGACTTTCCCAAACACACTCGAAGCGCTCGACCAATCACAACACACTGCTCCAGCCGACCAATCAGAGCACAGTGTGCTTTCAGGAGGAGGGGCTTCATAGAGACAGGAAGTAAACAGCGTTACTGACAGACTGGGAAGAGAGGAGCCGCAACAGTGGAGAATATGAGGAGAATAATCAACATTCAAGCAGGAGAACCTGTTCTAGTAGAGCCTGAAACATCATCAAGAGCAGAATCGGTCCTTTTTAAGGTGTTTAATCGCTAGTCCATCAGCGCTGCTTCAAGCATACCGGCTCGTGGGTTTCCTAAAAGCAAATATTAAAGATGTTTTAATGTATAATTTAATCTGAATTGCAGGAGAGTGCGGTTCCTCCGGTGAAGACTATGGGCCCGATTACAGACGCTGACATCATCAAGCTGCGACAATGTGAAAAGAAACAGGTGTGTTTGAAATAACATCCTATACACTACCGGTCAAAAGTTTTAGATGGGTAAGATTTTTAATGTTTTTAAAAGAAGTCTCTTCTGCTCACCAAAGCTGCATTTATATGATAAAAACAAAAACAAAAAACAGTAATATTGTGAAATATTATGACAATTTAAAATGACCGTTTTATATTTTAATATATTTTAAAATGTAATTTATTCCTCTGATGGAAGCAGAATGTTCAGCATCATTACTCCAGTCTTCAGTGTCACATGATCCTTCAGAAATCACTCTAATATGGTGATTTTATGCTCAAAAAAACATTTATTATTTTTTTCAATGTTGAAAACAGTTGTGTACAATTTGTTTTCAGAATTCTTTGATGAATAGAAAGTTCAGAAACAGCATTTATTTCAAATAGAATCTTTTCTAACATTATAAATGTCTTTACAGTAACTTTTGATCAATTTAACGCATCCTTGATGAATAAAAGTATTGATTTCTTTTATTTCTTTCCACAAAAAAATAAAATAAAATCGTACTGACCCCAAACTTTTAAAGGATAGTGTTTAATGATACAAAAGCTTTCTATTTCAGATAAATGCTGTTCTTTTGAACTTTCTAATCATCAAAGAATCCTGAAATGAAAATGTAAATTTTTTCTTTTCAACACTGATAATAATCATAAATGTTTCTTGATCATCAGATCCTCATATTAGAGTGATTTCTGAAGGGTCATGTGACACTGAAGACTGGAGCAATGATGCTGAACATTCAGCTTTGATCACAGGAATAAATTACACTTTACTGTATATTCACATAGAAAACAGCTGTTTTAAATAGTAATAATATTTAACAATATGACTATTTTTGTTTGTATTTTTAATCATATAAATGCAGCCTTGGTGAGCAGAAGAGACTTCTTGTAAAAACATTAAAAATCTTACCGATCTAAAACTTTTGACCGGTAGTGTATGTCTGCAGTATGTACAGTATATTCCTCCAGAATACTATTTGTATTTTAATGCGTAGAATACATTGAAGACCGGCTACATTTGTCAAACAGGTGTATCTGTTATGCAACAGAAACAGAAGCTTTAAAGGGTTTTAATCTATATATGAGCCATATCTACAGTCAAACCAAAACCTATTCACACACCAGATATCATTTTTTATATTGTTTCACTAGTGTGATCAGGACACTAAAGTTCATTTCTGTAAGTGAGGAGAGCAAAATAAAGTAAACTGTGACATATTATACACAAATATTCTTCATACAGTGACTACCAGTGACATTTATAACAATTTGGGACTAAAAAGTATTCAGTCACTTTGAGCTGATGATGTTTTCTTCAGTGTGTTTTCTGTAATTGCTAATGCTCTTTTTACACACAGACTGAACAACATGAAGCATTGCTTGGTCACTGGTTGAGCTAAACTGGTATTATCTAATTGTGTAGTTAAATTGAACAGCTGACAGATATTCAACATAATTCATGTGTGAGAGTCTAACAGAAGGACGGACAAAACCAGTCAAATATCCACTGATCTGAGAACTCTGAGTTCTGCTCATGTTTATCACCATTGTCTAAACTATAGCGAATAAACCGTGATGATGTGTGAGATGTTGAAGTTGAGTGAATAAATTTAGGTTTGACTGTGTATAATATAACCTATATTTAACCTTATACAGGTTTTAAAATTGCTCTTTTATAGTATTTCGACTTGAAAATAGCCAAGCTGGCATCGACCAACCAGCATCTCACAATCCGAATCAAACGGGTGTGATATTAAATCAAATTTAATTTAAGATTTTTTTTCTGCCTCGTGATGCATTTTTGATCTCCTAAAAGTTTAGACATTTTTATACACTTATTTTGTATATAATATTTGTTAATTCTGTAATGTTTAACTCTTGTGTCTCAGGTGGACTTCAGAGACAAGCTGTACCTGGCTCCTCTGACCACGGTAAACTCTCCCGGCTAACGTGCGCTCAGCGAGTCCTCCAGAGACGTGTTCTCACAGCTCACGTGTGTGTGTGTGTGTGTTCTGTGCAGTGTGGGAACCTGCCGTTCCGGCGCGTGTGCAAGCGCTTCGGGGCCGACGTCACGTGTGGAGAGATGGCCATGTGCACTAACCTCCTGCAGGGACAGGCGTCCGAGTGGGCGCTCCTCAAGAGACACGCCAGCGAGGACCTGTTCGGCGTTCAGGTGCGACTCACGGCTCATTAAAGGGGCAGTCTGTAAGATTAACAGCTAGTGGTGGAGATCGGTACTGCAGTCCAATTCAAAACATCGGAGATCGTGCAGTATCACAGAGCAAAACAAAAACACACATTCCAGCCTGGAAACACACATTTCAGAGTACAACAACTGTGTGTAGAAGTGTTGCTCAGAGAAACGAGTGTGTGAACTCAGCATGTTTCCTCAATATATGCAAACACATGGTATTTGTATGCTTTAGTAGAGTGAAAAGTTGCATACAGCGCCTTTAATGACAGTCTGATTCGGTTATACAGTGAATTATTGACTGGTTTGATGAAGCGTAATGCTGGAATTACCATAATTACGAGCCGTTCGTGTCATTGGAGTGACGTTATTATTGGTTTCTAGGCTCATGATGTCGGACTGGGTCCCTGTGTTGATCATATATCACTGTTAATTAGAGCAAAACACTACAAGTCATATCCGTTCTTCCCCAGTTTATTGGAAACACTTTTTGTATTACAAGATTCTGAAATGTTTCTTATGCAAATGAGGCATGGTCTAATTAAATATGTGCTCATTTGCATACATTTCCATAACAGAAATCTGAAAATTGGATAAAGCAGGTTTGATTGTGTTGACATTAGAGTTAAAGGATTTCCCAGAGGGGATTTCTCAGTTTATCATTCCATAAATCAACAGTCATGAAAATACATTTTCACCATGATTTTAGGAGTAAAATGTTCTATAAATCAGGCGAATGATACAGTATATGAACAACCATTTGGAATTTTGGATGTATTTTGGATGTTTTCTTTCCACTAGTCTGAAAAAACACGTTATGAAAAGCCAAAATCTCAAAACTGACCAGTGCATAAAAAAAACTGACTTGACTTTGTTATCGCAAAATAATAATATGGCTGAAAATTGCATAATATACAATAAAACGTGTAGCATCTCCTACCCAGCTTCCTAACTGTTGCATTGGCTGCCGGTTTGGTTGTGTTTACATGACGTCAGGTGACAGAAGTCTGATTCTGAGTTTCAGTGTGTGTGTGTCGGCATCTCCCGCATGGGCTGCCGTGAGGGTGTGTGTACGTGACGTCAGGTGACAGAAGTCTGATTCTGAGTTTCAGTAAGTGTGTGTGTGTGTCCGGCGTCTCCCGCATGAGCTGCCGTGAGGGTGTGTGTACGTGACGTCAGGTGACAGAAGTCTGATTCTGAGTTTCAGTAAGTGTGTGTGTCCGGCGTCTCCCGCATGGGCTGCCGTGAGGGTGTGTGTACGTGACGTCAGGTGACAGAAGTCTGATTCTGAGTTTCAGTAAGTGTGTGTGTGTCGGCGTCTCCCGCATGGGCTGACCTGAGCTTGTGTTGCAGCTGGAGGGCTGTTTCCCAGACACCATGACCAGGTGTGCCGAGCTGCTCAATCAAAACATCGACGTGGATTTTGTGGATATAAACTCCGGCTGCCCCATCGACCTGGTCTACAAGAAGGTAATGCACAGAAACCCGGCTGCGAGGCCATTAGCCGCTTCTAAAGAACAGTTCACACACACATATATGGTCATTTATTCAGATACTGGAGACTGATGCTGTTTTCACAGATCTGTCCTACAGTGAACACACTGTTACCACACAGGTTTCTGGAGTTGATTGAGTCGCTGGTTGATTTGAACAACATTCGATTTTTACACGGCTTGAAACTGTTTATTCCTTGAATATTTCTCATAGGGTCATGAATGTGCATGCAAAGTATTGTGTTTTGGAAAGCCTGTACAAATGACCTTTATTGTTTTCCATGCAATTTGCCAAAAAACTGGAAAACCTCGATCATAGCTCGTCAAAATATGAAACGCTTGAGATTTAAACATGAGAATTTAAGACTTAAAGTTTACTTGAAATTAAAGACTTGTCTTCTGAATCGAGAGAGAATTTGCTGTTCATCTATTTGAGTTTTACTGTCAATGTTTTACTAGAGTCAAAACAAAACAAAAATGCAGAGGCATTTTACACCAATATTACAAATAGAAATAAATACTACAATTAATGTACAAATCATAAATACTATTTATTCATAGTTGTATCTCAGAGTGAAAATAGTCTCTTCAAGTAGTCAAAACATCAAATAAATAGTTTTTTTTGTGTCTGTAGACTCTGTACAGGTAATATTGAATATTTACATCAGATTTACCACTAACACAAAGAGAGAAAGTGTTTTTTATAGTATAGTAGTTAATAATGTAGTATATTTTGGGGGGTTTTAGTCACTGAAAGAGGTTTTTACGTGATTCTTTAGTGTTGATTTTTGGTGAACTGCATGGAAACCAGAGGTCGCTTTGACCCGACACACAGCGTAGCCGTATTTTCAGAAGAACGCTAGTCTTTGTGACTTTTAACTGCGATGAACTGATTTGTTTCTTCAGGGCGGTGGATGTGGCCTCATGACACGCACCACCAAATTTGAGCAAATCGTGAGGGGAATGAATTCTGTAAGTGAACCGAGAAACCTTGATCATTGTTACGTGTGTTTAAAGAGTGTGTTGAGTGATGTTCGTCTTGTATCGCGTCATTGGACGTCAGTAGGTGTGTTTACATGCACATGTTTTCATCAATCCGATCTCAGATTCTGAAAGTTATGTTTATATGAACCCTGAACGTCACACTGATTCACATATACATTAACTTTTGCATTTATGTATTACGTTCAGAATTGAAGAAAGACGCCGTGATTAAAATTAGTAAAATTGTCTTTTTTATGTGTCAAATTGACAAAGGAACTATTTTTTTATACTATAGGAGTTCATAATTTCTCATATTTTACATTTTTGTATTCTTTGTCAACCTACAAGAGGTTTTTACATGACTCTTTAGTGTTTTTCGTAGTGTTGATAGCATGGAAACCAAAGGAGGTCAAGTTATAGTTATACGAACCCTAAAAGTTACAGCACGATACACATTCACATTTGCATTTATGTATTATGAACAAAACTTCAGTTCGCTGCATGCAGAGCCGGAGAAAACCAGCGCGATAATGTCTAACCGCAAGTATAATTGTTTTGCATCAGACATTTATGTCAGAAGTGCTTTTTAGCAAATATTTAGTGAATGTTCAGTGTCCTCCACTGACCAGTTCTTAAAACGCAAGATGTAAATAAACACATGCATGTTCGTACGACATTTGTAAACATGCTCATCACGGCGCTATTTGTGATATTAAAGATATTTGTGAATCTGATTGAGACGATTCAAGCATTTACATGCTGTTTTTTCCTATTGATCGGTCAGATTACTTCAGGTCTGCAGCACCACTTTCAACCTTATGGATATTTCATTCAGATCGAGCTGAATTATTTTAGCATGAAGGCTTTTCAGTCCGACTGAGCCATCAATCTGATTATTAACGGATTACGAGTTGCTGCTGTGTGACGCGTCTCATGCTCTTCCGCAGGTGCTGGACGTTCCTCTAACGGTTAAGATCCGCACGGGAGTCCAGCAGAACTGCAACGTCGCGCACAAGCTGATCCCCGAGATGAAGAAGTGGGGCGTGTCGCTCATCACGGTACGGTGAGGTTCAGCGAGCAGCTCAAGCTAATGAGGTTTCCTTCATCATGAGTGTTCTCCTCCGCAGCTGCACGGCAGATCTCGCGAACAGCGCTACACGAAGTCAGCTGACTGGGATTATATCGACACCTGCTCCAAACTCGCCGCTCCCGTACCGCTGTTCGGTGAGTAGATGATGCGGATACGCCAAACTTCAGATGCTTTGACTCTAGGGATGCACCGATAGCCGATAATTCTTTAAATTTGAAAGCCGATAACCGATAATTCGTTAAATTTGAAAGCCAGAAACCGATAATTCTTTATATTTGAAAGCCGCTAACCGATAATTCTTTATATATGAAAGCCGGTAACCGATAATTCTTTATATTTGAAAGCCGGTAACCGATAATTCTTTATATTTGAAAGCCGATAACCATAATTCTTTATATTTGAAAGCCGCTAACCGATAATTCTTTATATATGAAAGCCGGTAACCGATAATTCTTTATATTTGAAAGCCGGTAACCGATAATTCTTTATATTTGAAAGCCGATAACCATAATTCTTTATATTTGAAAGCCGCTAACCGATAATTCTTTATATATGAAAGCCGGTAACCGATAATTCTTTATATTTGAAAGCCGGTAACCGATAATTCTTTATATTTGGAAGCCAGAAACCGATAATTCTTTATATTTGAAAGCCGATAACCGATAATTCTTTATATTTGAAAGCCGCTAACTGATAATTCTTTATATTTGAAAGCCGCTAACTGATAATTCTTTATATTTGAAAGCCGATAACCGATAATTCTTTATATTTGAAAGCCGCTAACTGATAATTCTTTATATTTGAAAGCCGCTAACCGATAATTCTTTATATATGAAAGCCGGTAACCGATAATTCTTTATATTTGAAAGCCGGTAACCGATAATTCTTTATATTTGAAAGCCGGTAACCGATAATTCTTTATATTTGAAAGCCAGAAACCGATAATTCTTTATATTTGAAAGCCGATAACCGATAATTCTTTATATTTGAAAGCCGCTAACTGATAATTCTTTATATTTGAAAGCCGGTAACTGATAATTCTTTATATTTGAAAGCCGATAACCGATAATTCTTTATATTTGAAAGCCGATAACTGATAATTCTTTATATTTGAAAGCCGATAACTGATAATTCTTTATTTTTGGAAGCTGGTCACCGATGATTCTTTATATTTGAAAGCCGTTAACGATAATTCTTTATATTTGAAAGCCGGAAACCGATCATTCTTTATATTTGAAAGCCGATAACCGATATATTGGCCGATAAATCTAAATCCAATTTCAATATATAAATTGAGTTTGAATACAAAAACAAAACTCACCATTAAAAGCCATGACCCAATCACACAGTTATAATGTTCTCATTATCATTTTATGCAGCTGATATAACATGTTGCACTGAACTGTATTTTCCTTTTTTGAAGTGATTTCAATCATATTTCAAGCGATTCAGCTCCATCATGTTGAACAGTGTGCATCTGAAGCGTCTCAGCTGAAGGAAATAATACATGATTTATCAGCTTTAATATATCTGACAAGTTTTCTTTTCGGGTCGATATTGATAACATAAATGATCATATATCGGCCGCTACTGATATGGTGATCCCTAATTGACTCTGTTGGTGTTTGTCCCACAGGTAACGGAGATATTCTGTCGTATGAAGACGCCATGAAGGCCAGAGAAACGGGAGTGTCGGGGATCATGTTGGCGAGGTCAGTCTGCGTCCGCTTTCATGCATCATCTGTGCCGTTCTGGGCTGCGCTTCCATAAAGCATCGTAAGCCTCAGAAGTTCGTAAATACGATCGTACGACTGATCTTAAAGGGATAGTTCTCCCAAAAATGTAAATTAGCCCATGATTCACTCTCCCTCAAGCCATCCTAGGTGTATATGACATTCTTCTCTCAGACGAACACAATCAGAGTTATATTAAAGGGATACTCCACTTTTTTTGGAAATAGGCTCAATTTACAACTCCCCCAGAGTTAAACTGTTGAGTTTTACCGTTTTTGAATCCATTCAGCCGATCTCCGGTTCTGGCGGTACCACTTTTAGCATAGCTTAGCATACATCATTGAAGTGGACAAGACCATTAGCATTTCTCATTAAAAAATGACCAAAGTGTTTCGATATTTTTCCTATTTAAAACTTGACTCTTCTGTAGTTACATCGTGCACTAAGACCGACGGAAAATGTAAAGTTGCGATTTTCTAGGCTGATATGGCTAGGAACTATACTCTCATTCCTGCGTAATAATCAAGAAACTTCACTGCCGTACCATGAGAGCAGCAGGCGTAATGATATGACGCAGCGCCTGAAAATAGTTCCGTTGTGTTGACGGAAGGTGGCCTATTTTCAGGCGCTGCGTCATATCATTACGCCTGCTGCTCTCATGGTACGGCAGTGAAGTTTCTTGATTATTACGCAGGAATGAGAGTATAGTTCCTAGCCATATCAGCCTAGAAAATCGCAACTTTACATTTTCCGTCGGTCTTAGTGCACGATGTAACTACAGAAGAGTCAAGTTTTAAATAGGAAAAATATCGAAACACTTTGGTCATTTTTTTTGAGAAATGCTAATGGTCTTGTCCACTTCAATGATGTATGCTAAGCTATGCTAAAAGTGGTACCGCCAGAACCGGAGATCGGCTGAATGGATTCAAAAACGGTAAAACTCAACAGTTTAACTCTGGGGGAGTTGTAAAATGAGCCTATTTCCAAAAAAAGTGGAGTATCCCTTTAAAGGGCATATTGCAGGTTAGAGGACCCAACGAGTCAATGTATAGAAAAATAATGTAGGAACTAGATTTTCTTTAAAATATTCTTATAAATACGCTACAGAAGCTTCTGGAGTCGTTTTTGTGAGAAAATTTTACTTCCGCGTCTGAAAATGGGCGTGGCGGGCGTTACGTAACGGGCGGGAGAGCGGTCGATGCAAACAACAGGAAAACAATGGATCGCAATGACATTTCGGACGCTGAGGAAATACTTACTCGTATGACGGACCACAGCCATACAGTTATGAGCCTGCTATGCTGCCAAGAGAGCAGGACAGGATTAATGTTAGACAGAACGGTCAGAGACACATTGAGTTGTGGTGTGAGAACGAGTGGAGAACAGGACAGGTGTCTTTGCTTATAGATACACACGTTCGCTAACGATATACACTGTGCTCACAATATTGTACAGATTATTACCATCGTATATCAGGCCAGCAGACATTAGTATGTTTAGGGTAGATGTATACTATTAAATGTATAAAAACTATACTTGAGTATAGGGATGTCCCGATCCGATCACGCGATCGGAAATCGGGCCCGATCACATGGTTTCAGACTCGATCGGAATCGGACGTTACCTCCCGATCAGGACTCGGATATATGTAAATTAGGGGTGTAACGGTACATGTATTCGTAATTATTGAACCGTTTCGGTACGAGGCTTCCGGTTCGGTACGCATACAAACCGAACGATTCCTAGGACCATTTTTCCTGCAGACGAAATCCGCGCTGGCGCGATCACCACAACGCTGCGCAACATCAAATGGCAAACGTAATGAAAGCGGAACGAAACTGCGCTTCTCATTATATTGTGCTTCACGGACCATTTATCAGTTCGGACCAGCAACATCTGTGCAGCGCGAGATCAAGCGAAGAGATCCAGTGAAGAAAACATTTGAATTCGCCACTGAATAACATCGCTGCGAGATCTAGTGAGAAGCATTCACATTTCTCCGTTATTAACCGTAGATCTCTATTAGATCAAACAGCGCTGACGTGGACACCAGGAGAAACATTGTGCCGTGAATGAACATGGATTTAATGTTGCACTTCAAAACTCAAATATTATATAAATATATATTTAAATGTTATTTTTAATGTGATTACCAAAACATTATTTGTTCATCCTTCAAAGATTACCCCCATTTATAAACCTGAAAGTTTCAAGATGTAGGAAAACTACAAAAATAGTTTTTCTTTTAATAGGAAATTTCTCTGGCATTTCTTTCTTTTTGCTGTATCGTATCGAACCGAACCGCAAATTTTGTGAACTGTAACACCCCTAATGTAGGCCTATATTATATTCTCATTATTTTTTTATACACTTTTAAAACATTTTTATTTTTTGTTTACATGTCTGCTGGGTATTTTAAGTTGAGGTGCTATTTGTTTTTATATTAGACTTTTTCTAGATTTACTGTTGCACTAAAGTCCAAAAGTGAAGATTTTATGTTATTTATTACTTGATTGTTCAAGCTACCTCACAGAAGTGCTCTGTTTGTTAACAGAGTTGTTGAATGTTAAAATAAGGTGAATTAAATAAAAAATAAGGAACATCCTGGATCTGTTTTTTCTCTCTTCTTTATTTTTTTTTAATGTATTATATAAGTATCGGATCGGGACTCGGTATCGGTAGATACTCAAAATCAAATGACTCGGACTCGGACTCGAGGGCAAAAAAACCTGATCGGGACATCCCTACTTGAGTATATTTCTATTGTACTAAAAACATACCCAAGTACATTTTTAAAACATATTTTTCATCTGGGTTATAACATAAATAGAAAATTAAAGATTTGAATATTTAAACAACCTGAGTAATTTTGTTTTTCAATTACAAGTTGCCTCTATTTAGGGCATGACTCCCTATATCACACTATTTGATGCCATTGGTACAGTATACGACGATCAATATTCTTGCTTCGGCATCCCATGTTAAACTCCATCATATCGCCGGGATGATAATCCTCCGATCTGAAGTGAACGCTACACACGATCTGAAGTGAAAGCTACACACGACCGCGGTTCTCGAAGCCGATGCGGAAGAGAAATCCCGTCTCTTCAGCTGCACACACCGCACCAGGCACGAAAGATACAGCACCGTCCTTTTTCTTGTTATGGAAACCTGTGGACTCGATGTCCTGACAGGCCGGAGTTTTTGCAACCTCCACAAACACAATAATTTACCATGACGATGATAGATTGAAATACAAAAACTACGGAAAACACACTGACTCACGGCCGCTCTCACTGAATGCCAGCCTACTCTGCACTGAGCCGAGGCTGAGGCTCCCTAGCGTGACGTAAAATGACGCGATGTTGAAAAAAAAAGCCGTTTTTACGAGCAGTCCAAGAAACGCTCACTTTATCTACTAAATTAGTGCCCTTATGTCGTTTTAAAACATTTTAAATCCTGCATTAACTTTTCATATGGTATTTTCATACAAGGTTATATATTAATTTAGATTTTTTTTTTTTACCTGCAATATGCTCTTTAAACATGTCCTGGCTCTTCCAAGCTTTATAATGGCAGTGAATGACTTTATATATTTTTGAAGTCCATAAAAGTGCATCTGTCCATCATAAAAGTGCATCTGTCCATCATAAAAGTGCATCTATCCATCATAAAAGTGCATCTGACCATCATAAAAGTGCATCTGTCCATCATAAAAGTGCATCTATCCATCATAAAAGTGCATCTGTCCATCATAAAAGTGCATCTGTCCATCATAAAAGTGCATCTGTCCATCATAAGTGCATCTATCCATCATAAAAGTGCATCTGTCCATCATAAAAGTGCATCTGTCCATCATAAGTGCATCTGTCCATCATAAAAGTGCATCTGTCCATCATAAAAGTGCATCTATCCATCATAAAAGTGCATCTGTCCATCATAAAAGTGCATCTGTTCATCATAAGTGCATCTATCCATCATAAAAGTGCATCTGTCCATCATAAAAGTGCATCTGTCCATCATAAAAGTGCATCTGTCCATCATAAAAGTGCATCTATCCATCATAAAAGTGCATCTGTCCATCATAAAAGTGCATCTGTCCATCATAAAAGTGCATCTGTCCATCATAAAAGTGCATCTGTCCATCATAAAAGTGCATCTGTCCATCATAAGTGCATCTGTCCATCATAAAAGTGCATCTGTCCATCATAAAAGTGCATCTGTCCATCATAAGTACATCTATCCATCATAAAAGTGCATCTGTCCATCATAAAATTGCATCTATCCATCATAAAAGTGCATCTGTCCATCATAAAAGTGCATCTGTCCATCATAAAAGTGCATCTGTCCATCATAAAAGTGCATCTGTCCATCATAAGTGCATCTGTCCATCATAAAAGTGCATCTATCCATCATAAAAGTGCATCTGTCCATCATAAAAGTGCTAAAAGTGCATCTATCCATCATAAAAGTGCATTTATCCATCATAAAAGTGCATCTATCCATCATAAAAGTGCATTTATCCATCATAAAAGTGCATCTGTCCATCATAAAAGTGCATCTGTCCATCATAAAAGTGCATCTGTCCATCATAAGTGCATCTGTCCATCATAAAAGTGCATCTATCCATCATAAAAGTGCATCTATCCATCATAAAAGTGCATCTGTCCATCATAAAAGTGCATCTGTCCATCATAAAAGTGCTAAAAGTGCATCTATCCATCATAAAAGTGCATTTATCCATCATAAAAGTGCATCTATCCATCATAAAAGTGCATCTATCCATCATAAAAGTGCATCTGTCCATCATAAAAGTGCTAAAAGTGCATCTATCCATCATAAAAGTGCATCTATCCATCATAAAAGTGCATCTATTCATCATAAAAGTGCATCTGTCCATCATAAAAGTGCATCTGTCCATCATAAGTGCATCTGTCCATCATAAAAGTGCTAAAAGTGCATCTATCCATCATAAAAGTGCATTTATCCATCATAAAAGTGCATCTATCCATCATAAAAGTGCATCTGTCCATCATAAAAGTGCTAAAAGTGCATCTATCCATCATAAAAGTGCATTTATCCATCATAAAAGTGCATCTATCCATCATAAAAGTGCATCTATCCATCATAAAAGTGCATCTGTCCATCATAAAAGTGCTAAAAGTGCATCTATCCATCATAAAAGTGCATCTATCCATCATAAAAGTGCATCTATTCATCATAAAAGTGCATCTGTCCATCATAAAAGTGCATCTGTCCATCATAAGTGCATCTGTCCATCATAAAAGTGCATCTGTCCATCATAAAAGTGCATCTATCCATCATAAAAGTGCATCTGTCCATCATAAAAGTGCTAAAAGTGCATCTATCCATCATAAAAGTGCATTTATCCATCATAAAAGTGCATCTATCCATCATAAAAGTGCATTTATCCATCATAAAAGTGCATCTGTCCATCATAAAAGTGCATCTGTCCATCATAAAAGTGCATCTGTCCATCATAAGTGCATCTGTCCATCATAAAAGTGCATCTATCCATCATAAAAGTGCATCTATCCATCATAAAAGTGCATCTGTCCATCATAAAAGTGCTAAAAGTGCATCTATCCATCATAAAAGTGCATTTATCCATCATAAAAGTGCATCTATCCATCATAAAAGTGCATCTGTCCATCATAAAAGTGCTAAAAGTGCATCTATCCATCATAAAAGTGCATTTATCCATCATAAAAGTGCATCTATCCATCATAAAAGTGCATCTATCCATCATAAAAGTGCATCTGTCCATCATAAAAGTGCTAAAAGTGCATCTATCCATCATAAAAGTGCATCTATCCATCATAAAAGTGCATCTATTCATCATAAAAGTGCATCTGTCCATCATAAAAGTGCATCTATCCATCATAAAAGTACCTCTATCCATCATAAAAGTGCATCTGTCCATCATAAAAGTGCATCTATTCATCATAAAAGTGCATCTGTCCATCATAAAAGTACCTCTATCCATCATAAAAGTGCATCTATTCATCATAAAAGTGCATCTATCCATCATAAAAGTACCTCTATCCATCATAAAAGTGCATCTGTCCATCATAAAAGTGCATCTATTCATCATAAAAGTGCATCTATCCATCATAAAAGTGCATCTATCCATCATAAAAGTGCATCTATCCATCATAAAAGTGCATCTGTCCATCATAAAAGTGCATCTGTCCATCATAAAAGTGCATCTATCCATCATAAAAGTGCATCTATCCATCATAAAAGTGCATCTGTCCATCATAAAAGTGCATCTATCCATCATAAAAGTACCTCTATCCATCATAAAAGTGCATCTGTCCATCATAAAAGTGCATCTATTCATCATAAAAGTGCATCTGTCCATCATAAAAGTGCATCTGTCCATCATAAAAGTGCATCTGTCCATCATAAAAGTACCTCTATCCATCATAAAAGTGCATCTGTCCATCATAAAAGTGCATCTGTCCATCATAAAAGTGCATCTATTCATCATAAAAGTGCATCTATTCATCATAAAAGTGCATCTGTTCATCATAAAAGTGCATCTATCCATCATAAAAGTGCATCTGTCCATCATAAAAGTGCATCTATCCATCATAAAAGTGCATCTATTCATCATAAAAGTGCATCTGTCCATCATAAAAGTGCATCTGTCCATCATAAAAGTGCATCTGTCCATCATAAAAGTGCATCTGTCCATCATAAAAGTGCATCTATCTTTAACTTTATCGACTAAAATAACTGGCTTTTGGACAGAGCCGTACATTTTTGGGGAAACGCGGCGAGGTTCGTAACCTTGCTCGTAGAGAGCTAAGATGCATGGTTATCTGGAACCCGGCGCTGGTCTGTTCTAAGAACTGTTTCCTGTTTGTCAGGGGCGCGCTGATCAAGCCGTGGCTCTTCACTGAGATCAAGGAGAGCCGGCACTGGGACATCTCCTCCAGCGAGCGCCTGGACGTCCTGCGGGACTTCAGCAACTTCGGCCTCGAGCACTGGGGCTCCGACACGCAGGGCGTGGAGAAGACGCGCAGCTTCCTGTTGGAGTGGCTCTCCTTCCTGTGCAGGTGACAGGACACTTCAGCTCACAGGCATTTCTATAGCGCTTCTCACCACACATCATTTCAAAGCAGCTTATATAGATATAGAGGCGTTTCGCACGGCTCTATAAATATCTAAGTATATGATACAGCTTTTATTCTTCAGGTCAATCATATATTCATGAGATCAATAATAATAATAAGGAAATCTTTGTCATAGTGTCCTTTCAATGGTTAAAGTTACCGCAGTCACTGCATCTGCTGCACTTTATTTGTAGATTTTTTTTTTTTTTTTTTAGAATTTAAAAGATATTGTTTGATAAATGAGATCTCTGATTGTACTCCTTGGAAATAAAGTGTATTTGACAGCATCTGTAGGACCCCTGTTGCACTGCTCACCTTGAGCTGAGTGTGTGTGTGTGTGTTCAGGTATATTCCCGTGGGATTGCTGGAGAGAGTCCCGCAGAGGATCAACGAGCGCCCGCCGTTCTACATGGGCCGAGATTACATGGAGTCTCTGATGGCCAGTCAACACGTGGGCGACTGGATACAGATCAGGTGACACAGATTAATACACACATCTTGCTGACCAATAGCAGAACATTACAGGTCCAAACCCCTTCTCAGTGACACGAGCTGTTCCATCACCTATTCCTATGTGCATTCTGGGATATTGTAGAAAAAGCACTGGATGGAAGTTTCAAGATGCGCATGAACTACGATGGAAACACATTTACTGAATAAATCCCTCAAGCCTCATGTGACTCGGCGTCAGCTGTGATTGGATAACTGGAGTAGCCAGTGGACCAATGGCGTCGCAGCGTCTCTAATGTTGGTTTGGTGTTTCTGAAAGTCGAAGTGTGTGATCAGAGTGATTGGGTGTGATTCCCTCCAGAAGCGTCTCACACACACACACGAGTGTGTTCCCGAACACCAGCATCCGAACGCCAGAGAACACACTCGTTCATGATGACGCTCGACACACACTCGTTCATGATGACGCTCGACACACACTCGTTCATGATGACGCTCGACACACACTCGTTTATGATGACGCTCGACACACACTCGCTTATGATGACGCTCGACACACACTCGTTCATGATGACGCTCGACACACACTCGTTCATGATGACGCTCGACACACACTCGTTTATGATGACGCTCGACACACACTCGTTCATGATGACGCTCGACACACACTCGTTCATGATGACGCTCGACACACACTCGTTTATGATGACGCTCGACACACACTCGTTTATGATGACGCTCGACACACACTCGTTTATGATGACGCTCGACACACACTCGCTTATGATGACGCTCGACACACACTCGTTCATGATGACGCTCGACACACACTCGTTCATGATGACGCTCGACACACACTCGTTCATGATGACGCTCGACACACACTCGTTTATGATGACGCTCGACACACACTCGCTTATGATGACGCTCGACACACACTCGTTCATGATGACGCTCGACACACACTCGTTCATGATGACGCTCGACACACACTCGTTCATGATGACGCTCGACACACTCGTTTATGATGACGCTCGACACACACTCGCTTATGATGACGCTCGACACACACTCGTTCATGATGACGCTCGACACACACTCGTTCATGATGACGCTCGACACACACTCGTTCATGATGACGCTCGACACACACTCGTTCATGATGACGCTCGACACACACTCGTTCATGATGACGCTCGACACACACTCGTTCATGATGACGCTCGACACACACTCGTTTATGATGACGCTCGACACACACTCGCTTATGATGACGCTCGACACACACTCGTTCATGATGACGCTCGACACACACTCGTTCATGATGACGCTCGACACACACTCGTTTATGATGACGCTCGACACACACTCGTTCATGATGACGCTCGACACACACACGTTTATGATGACGCTCGACACACACTCGCTTATGATGACGCTCGACACACACTCGTTCATGATGACGCTCGACACACACTCGCTTATGATGACGCTCGACACACACTCGTTCATGATGACGCTCGACACACACTCGTTCATGATGACGCTCGACACACACTCGTTCATGATGACGCTCGACACACACTCGCTTATGATGACGCTCGACACACACTCGTTCATGATGACGCTCGACACACACTCGTTCATGATGACGCTCGACACACACTCGTTCATGATGACGCTCGACACACACTCGTTTATGATGACGCTCGACACACACTCGTTCATGATGACGCTCGACACACACACGTTTATGATGACGCTCGACACACACTCGCTTATGATGACGCTCGACACACACTCGTTCATGATGACGCTCGACACACACTCGCTTATGATGACGCTCGACACACACTCGTTCATGATGACGCTCGACACACACTCGTTCATGATGACGCTCGACACACACTCGTTCATGATGACGCTCGACACACACTCGTTCATGATGACGCTCGACACACACTCGTTTATGATGACGCTCGACACACACTCGTTCATGATGACGCTCGACACACACTCGCTTATGATGACGCTCGACACACACTCGTTCATGATGACGCTCGACACACACTCGTTTATGATGACGCTCGACACACACTCGTTCATGATGACGCTCGACACACACTCGTTCATGATGACGCTCGACACACACTCGCTTATGATGACGCTCGACACACACTCGTTCATGATGACGCTCGACACACACTCGTTTATGATGACGCTCGACACACACTCGTTCATGATGACGCTCGACACACAATCGTTCATGATGACGCTCGACACACACTCGTTCATGATGACGCTCGACACACACTCGTTCATGATGACGCTCGACACACAATCGTTCATGATGACGCTCGACACACACTCGTTCATGATGACGCTCGACACACACTCGTTCATGATGACGCTCGACACACACTCGTTCATGATGACGCTCGACACACACTCGTTTATGATGACGCTCGACACAATCGTTTATGATGACGCTCGACACACACTCGTTCATGATGACGCTCGACACACACTCGTTCATGATGACGCTCGACACACACTCGTTCATGATGACGCTCGACACACACTCGTTCATGATGACGCTCGACACACACTCGTTTATGATGACGCTCGACACACACTCGTTCATGATGACGCTCGACACACACTCGTTCATGATGACGCTCGACACACACTCGTTCATGATGACGCTCGACACACACTCGTTCATGATGACGCTCGACACACACTCGTTTATGATGACGCTCGACACACACTCGTTTATGATGACGCTCGACACACACTCGTTCATGATGACGCTCGACACACACTCGCTTATGATGACGCTCGACACACACTCGTTCATGATGACGCTCGACACACACTCGTTTATGATGACGCTCGACACACATTCGTTCATGATGACGCTCGACACACACTCGTTCATGATGACGCTCGACACACACTCGTTTATGATGACGCTCGACACACACTCGTTCATGATGACGCTCGACACACACTCGTTCATGATGACGCTCGACACACACTCGTTTATGATGACGCTCGACACACACTCGTTCATGATGACGCTCGACACACACTCGTTTATGATGACGCTCGACACACACTCGTTCATGATGACGCTCGACACACACTCGTTCATGATGACGCTCGACACACACTCGTTTATGATGACGCTCGACACACACTCGTTCATGATGACGCTCGACACACACTCGTTCATGATGACGCTCGACACACACTCGTTCATGATGACGCTCGACACACACTCGTTTATGATGACGCTCGACACACACTCGTTTATGATGACGCTCGACACACACTCGTTTATGATGACGCTCGACACACACTCGTTTATGATGACGCTCGACACACACTCGTTTATGATGACGCTCGACACACACTCGTTTATGATGACGCTCGACACACACTCGTTCATGATGACGCTCGACACACACTCGTTCATGATGACGCTCGACACACACTCGTTCATGATGACGCTCGACACACACTCGTTCATGATGACGCTCGACACACAATCGTTCATGATGACGCTCGACACACACTCGTTCATGATGACGCTCGACACACACTCGTTCATGATGACGCTCGACACACAATCGTTCATGATGACGCTCGACACACACTCGTTCATGATGACGCTCGACACACACTCGTTCATGATGACGCTCGACACACACTCGCTCATGATGACGCTCGACACACACTCGTTTATGATGACGCTCGACACACACTCGTTCATGATGACGCTCGACACACACTCGTTCATGATGACGCTCGACACACACTCGTTCATGATGACGCTCGACACACACTCGTTCATGATGACGCTCGACACACACTCGCTCATGATGACGCTCGACACACACTCGTTCATGATGACGCTCGACACACACTCGTTCATGATGACGCTCGACACACACTCGTTCATGATGACGCTCGACACACACTCGCTCATGATGACGCTCGACACACACTCGTTCATGATGACGCTCGACACACACTCGTTCATGATGACGCTCGACACACAATCGTTCATGATGACGCTCGACACACTCGTTCATGATGACGCTCGACACACACTCGTTCATGATGACGCTCGACACACACTCTTTCATGATGACGCTCGACACACTCGTTCATGATGACGCTCGACACACACTCGTTCATGATGACGCTCGACACACACTCGTTCATGATGACGCTCGACACACACTCGTTCATGATGACGCTCGACACACACTCGTTTATGATGACGCTCGACACACACTCGTTCATGATGACGCTCGACACACACTCGTTCATGATGGCGCTCGACACACACTCGTTTATGATGACGCTCGACACACACTCGTTTATGATGACGCTCGACACACACTCGCTTATGATGACGCTCGACACACACTCGTTCATGATGACGCTCGACACACACTCGTTTATGATGACGCTCGACACACTCGTTCATGATGACGCTCGACACACACTCGTTCATGATGACGCTCGACACACACTCGTTTATGATGACGCTCGACACACTCGTTTATGATGACGCTCGACACACACTCGCTTATGATGACGCTCGACACACACTCGTTCATGATGACGCTCGACACACACTCGTTCATGACGCTCGACACACACTCGTTCATGATGACGCTCGACACACACTCGTTCATGATGACGCTCGACACACACTCGTTCATGATGACGCTCGACACACACTCGTTCATGATGACGCTCGACACACTCGTTCATGATGACGCTCGACACACACTCGCTTATGGTGACGCTCGACACACACTCGTTTATGGTGACGCTCGACACACACTCGTTCATGATGACGCTCGACACACACTCGTTTATGATGACGCTCGACACACACTCGTTTATGATGACGCTCGACACACACTCGCTTATGGTGACGCTCGACACACACTCGTTCATGATGACGCTCGACACACACTCGTTTATGATGACGCTCGACACACACTCGTTCATGATGACGCTCGACACACTCGTTCATGATGACGCTCGACACACTCGTTCATGATGACGCTCGACACACACTCGTTCATGATGACGCTCGACACACTCGTTTATGATGACGCTCGACACACTCGTTTATGATGACGCTCGACACACACTCGTTCATGATGACGCTCGACACACGTTTATGATGACGCTCGACACACACTCGTTCATGATGACGCTCGACACACACTCGTTCATGATGACGCTCGACACACACTCGTTCATGGTGACGCTCGACACACACTCGTTCATGATGACGCTCGACACACACTCGTTTATGATGACGCTCGACACACACTCGTTCATGATGACGCTCGACACACACTCGTTCATGGTGACGCTCGACACACACTCGTTCATGATGACGCTCGACACACACTCGTTCATGATGACGCTCGACACACACTCGTTCATGATGACGCTCGACACACACTCGTTCATGATGACGCTCGACACCCACTCGTTTATGATGACGCTCGACACACACTCGTTTATGATGACGCTCGACACACACTCGTTTATGATGACGCTCGACACACACTCGTTCATGATGACGCTCGACACACACTCGTTTATGATGACGCTCGACACACACTCGTTTATGGTGACGCTCCACACACACTCGTTCATGGTGACGCTCGACACACACTCGTTCATGATGACGCTCGACACACACTCGTTTATGATGACGCTCGACACACACTCGTTTATGATGACGCTCGACACACACTCGTTTATGGTGACGCTCCACACACACTCGTTCATGGTGACGCTCGACACACACTCGTTCATGATGACGCTCGACACACACTCGTTTATGATGACGCTCGACACACAATCGTTCATGATGACGCTCGACACACACTCGTTCATGATGACGCTCGACACACACTCGTTCATGATGACGCTCGACACACACTCGTTCATGATGACGCTCGACACACACTCGTTCATGATGACGCTCGACACACACTTGTTTATGATGACGCTCGACACACAATCGTTCATGATGACGCTCGACACACACTCGTTCATGATGACGCTCGACACACACTCGTTTATGATGACGCTCGACACACATTCGTTTATGATGACGCTCACACACATTTCACTTTCACATCTGACGTTTACGAAGTATTTGTGAATCAGGAGATGAGTTTTCGGGAAGGTCTCTTTACGCGCAAATCACTCTCATATTTACTCGTATATTTACGAATGTTTCATAATTGAGACCCATGGAGTTTAACTTGTGTGGTGTGTCATGTTTGTTAATAACTGAATTAGACATCAGTAATTAGACGCGTAACTAACGGCTGTCTTCTTGTTATCGCTGCAGTGAGATGCTGTTGGGGCCGGTGCCGGGAAACTTCAGTTTCCTGCCGAAACACAAGGCCAACGCTTATAAATGACCATCGGCTGCAGAGAAAGGCAATGCTTACTGAATATAAAGTGCTAATCAAACTTTTTTTTATTTTCTTTTGTTTTATTTCTATCTTGTTTGAACATGATTAAGCCGAAGTTGTTTGTATTCAGGTTGAATTTATTTTAAATGTATTAGAGATGTTTAATACTGAAGAGTGTGTGTGTGTTAGATATAAATGCATTATAATTAAACTGATCAATAGAATTAAACAGATGGACACTGATCTCCATCTCTGGTTCTGTATCGATCTCTTTACTGATGATATGAAAGAGAATAAAGTCAAATACTCACTAATGACTGCGGTTCACATTTAATCGCCCGCCGCACCAGGGATCTGGAGAGATCATGTGATCTAATGAAAACACTGAAATATTGCATTTTGTACATTAGCATTGTTTTTATTAAGTGCATAGCATAAGTGTTTTGACATGATTGTGCCAGTGTTTATCATTAATGATCAGTGACCTGAGAAGTACACACACTCATACACATCTCACTGAATATAGTGCTCTTATCAAACACACACAACAGAACATGCTGATACAAACCCTCAGGCTGCACCAATCACGGCCTCTGCTGGTCAGGTGGGCGGAGCTACTGTCAGAGCGGAGGGTGCGTCTCTCACACACACACACACACACACAGGTATACAAACATGAAATCATTGTGTGTCTTACAGCATACAGAAGTGGGCTGAACTCTGACCTGTGGTTCTGTGCAGGGAAAGCTCTAAACGTCACGGATCTCGGAGGAAGACTTGTTTTTTCAATATATTGAAACATTCTTAAATCAAGATGCATTTCCTGGAGACATTATTAAGTCTCGTTTACCTGAAAAATGTATAAAAAATGAATAGAGTTTGTGCTTATTTTTTCACGAGTGGACTCTCATTTAGGTTGTTTGGCATCAAACGAGTTTAAAAGGATAAAGCCTTCAGAATGTCCTATAGTGTGAGAGCACAGCATTTATTATTTATCATTTTGCATAGTTGATTAGAACAAGCATGACATCACATCCTGTTGCTCATCTTTGCAGCAGGCCCTAAAAATAGTTACTTTTGGAAATATTACAAAAGTGTCTGTGTTTGTTGAACAGATATGGGTATTTTTGCAAGCAAAATGTGATATTATTTTGAAGTAAATGTTTCGCCGGTCACATATTTTTGGAGCTCCATTTACAAAAACAGATATCTTTCTGTCTTCTGCGTGACATTTACTACTGAAAAGAAACCTGTGTGTGAGTCATGCTCTTCAGACGGTCCTGCTCCAGTGATGGACTCCAGGAGACGTCACCTCTGACCTCTGCTCTCTAACACACACCACGGAAGGCACACATGAGTGCAAACACATCATCAACTCCTCTGCCTTAATAATGTCAGTCTGATGTGATGCTTGTGAGAGATTCCTAATGCTTGGGTGGGATCGGTCCGGGTCTCAGTTCCTCCTCGGTGAAAACAGAAGCATTAATAGAGCATCGTGTCACTGGTGCACAAACACACTCATGATCAGAGTCAGTGTGCGACAACTGCAGTGTTTTATCCCATTATCTGAAGTGGAATCACGTTCGGAAGAGAACACTAGCACACGGTCACGGCAGCATGTTCACTGGACACAGCATGTGAATGAACACCATGATGGTATACTCTATCCCACAATGCAATGCACTTGATATGACCTTCAAGAAACAAGTTATTTTTGAACAACTGGTTCCATCATCTTGAAGTCAGTGGGATTTGTATGTGTGTTTGTAATGAGGTCTGTGGTGAACACATTATATTCTATGACATAAAATTAATCAGTAATAGTGTTTTTAAAGCTTTCACATGTCTTCAAAAAGACGTTTGCTTACAAGAGTGGCAGTAAACGGGGAAATAGGGACATTAATCGGGTAAACTCTTCTACTTTGTGTTTATAATCGCGTTTTAGCAAACTATTCTCAAAATTTCCAACTTACAGATTTTAAATAATGAACAAGTTGTTGAAGCTTAATGACGGTGATGTTGAAGTCATGTGACTGTGGTGTAGTTTGTTTATAGCATTAGCTTTTTACTTCTACCGATTGTTTGTAGCCTTCAAAATTCATAAAAAGTTGTGTTCATAGATAATCAGAATGAACAAAACATGTAAAAAATAATAAATTTTGTTGGACACAGAGCTTGTTTATCTGCAAAAATCAAAAATTGTGTTAAAATGCAAAACAGAGTTTTATCTGACAGATATTTAGACGCCACGTGCTGAATTAAACATGCAATATAATGAGATCATGTTCGCTATATGCAGTCTATACCGCGCAGTGATCAGTATGCTAGTATTCAGTTTTCAGTCTTTAACCTCTGACCTCTCCTCTAGCTGTACTGTGGGGTCATTGGGGGTCAGAGGTCAGTGGTCGTGTGTGCAGGTGCAGTGTTCTGGCGGGTATGTTCACAGGTTTCGGGGGGATCTGTGGTTTGAGCGATGCGGTGCGCCTGACGAGAGCCGCGCGCTGGAGGACAGGAGGCTCGCTGTAGCTGTGCTGTCGCGTCAGACACGAGCCGCCCGCGACTAGCGGCCTGTGTATCTCGTAGATGTTGCCCGCGAGCGACGACTTCTGGTTGAAAGTGTGCCGGCGGGCCGTTGTGACCCCGTTTCCCATCTTGATGAGGACTTTGCGCTGTGATTGGACGGTGTTGCCGTGTGGCCGTTCGGGAAGCGCTTGCAGTGGAACCTGCTGAAGCGCTGTGGTTTCAGGCGTCTCGTTTAGGCAACTGTAGTACGAGGAGGGCATCTGTAACGTCAGGCTGTACGACACTGGATCCGTGACATCACGCACTTCTGGATGCTGGATGTGTTTGAATATGTCGTCCCTGTGGTTTTCTGAAGGTGTGTGATTGGTTGGAAACACCTGCAGGGTGGAGTTGTGGGTGTGGCTTCTCTCCCATTTGCTGTTCAGAGCCTTTAGGTTCTTGATTGGCAGCTCGGGGGTGGAGTCCGGGGTGGGCAGCGTCGAGACCAGCTCTTCCTCCACGGTTGCGTGTGGTTTGACGGGCGGCTGCCGGCAGGGCGGGCCGGAGCTGTAGATCTGGGAGGAAGTGATGTCGTTCTTGTCGGGTTTGGCGTCCAGCAGGCGGTTGAGTTTGGCGAGGCTGTTGAGCGAGAGCGCGTGTGGAAGCGACGCCTCGGGCTCTTGTTCTCGCTGGGATCTCTGACTGCAGAAACACGACACCAGCAGACCCGACGCGATCGCACCCAGCACGAACGCCACCAACACACACGCGCCCAGAAGAGTGAAGTGGAAGCCGTCGCTCACACTCGCCGCGTCAGGAAGCTGCTTCACTCCTGCAGACACACACACATTCACTCCATCTTTGAATCTCATTCATTTTGTTTGTTCTTAAATACAGTCAAACCAGAAATTCTTCAGACACCAGATATCATTTTTGATATGTTTCACTAGTGTGTGCAGGACACTATAGTTCATTTATGTGAGTGAGGAGAGCAAAATAAAGTAAACTGTGACATATTATACCCAAATATTCTTCATCCAGTGACTACCAGTGACATTAATACACATTTGGCACCAAAAATGATTCCTCCACTTTGAGCTGATGATGTTTTGCTGAAGTGTGTTTTCTGTAATTGCTAATGCTCTTTTTACACACACACTGAACAACATGAAGCATTGCTTGGTCACTGGTTGAGCTAAACTGGTATTATCTAATTGTGTAGTTAAATTTAACAGCTGACAGATATTCAACATAATTCATGTGTGAGAGTCTAACAGAAGGACGGACAAAACCAGTCAAATATCCACTGATCTGAGAACTCTGAGTTCTGCTCATATTTATCACCATTGTCTAAACTATAGCGAATAAACTGTGATAATGTGAGAAATGTAGAAGGTGTCTGAATATATTTAGGTTTGACTGTATAAATGTTGCTTTGCACTATTTTAATTATATGCTGTGATGCTTTGGCAATGAAGGATCTTAAAACTGAAGCTGCATTAGAGTTTCTGACAAGATCTTAAAGAGAACTGATGCACTGAGCCTGAAAATATGAAGCTTTTGTATTATTGGTAACACTTTCCATTTACATATAATACACACTGCAGTGACAGCAATGATTAATAATGTAAACAATGATTGGTCATGATAATGTGTGATGTCACTATGCTAAATTTGGAAAACAGTAGATTGTAAATTGCCTTCTGACTGATGTTAGCACTGAACCTCACACACTCAGTATAATCAGACATGACATCATAATGTGTGTGACACTGACCAGACGCTGAATCCACAGCTGAGTTCACATCACTTCCTGCGGCTGACATCACATCTGAGCACATGTGAATATAGGAGAGATTAGAATAAGTATTAGAACAGTTAGTGTTATGACAGTGTTTATATATACATTTTTGCAACATTGTACAACACAATTCCATAATATTGGAATATATGGAATATTCCATTCATCGAGTTTCTTAACAGGTTGAGCTTGACTTCATAACAGTGTTTAATGAGAAACTTTAACAAAACATCAGTGTCACAATGATTCACAAATGGCAAAATTCTCACATATACTTCCTAGAACAATATTTCCATTTATCTGACATTCAAATATGACAGAACTGAAGCATCACTGCTGTAACTCACTCACCGGGGCACGTGTCAAATAAATGTGATTGGTCCCCATCGATGTCCTGCTCAAAACCGGCCCTGCTCATCATACAAACACAGACAGGAAGGTTAGTGTGATATGAGCCATCACTGATCATGCAGCAGGAAGTGATGTCACTCTTACTTAAATCCCGGGGCCATGTCAGCACAGCGGCCCGTCCGCAGCCAGATGCAGTATGGGTCATGTGTGTATAGACAGCGTCTGTGGAGGAACAGGGAGAGTTATGAGTTTGACTAATAAAAGACTAATATGACCACGAAACCATCACGAGTCGCACGGGTGTATCTGTGGCAATAGCCAACACATTGCCTGGGTCAAAAATATAGATTTTTCTTTTATGCCGAAAATCATTAGGATATAAAGTAAAGATCATGTTCTATTAAGATATTTTGTAAATTTCCTACCGTAAATATATTTAAAAAATATATTTGTGAGTGAATGCAGCAAAAATCACAAACATAAATGATCAACTTTAAAGGAGATTTTCTCAATGTTTTTGCACCTTCAGATTCCAGATGTTCAAATAGTTGTATCTCGGCCAAATATTGTCCTATCATAACAAACCATATGTATTCAGCTTTCAGATGATGTATAAATGATTCTCAATGTCAGAAATTGACCCTTGTGACTGGTTCTGTGGTCCAGGGTCACATATGTGAAATAATACAAAGACTTTGTTGAAATCTTCACTGGTTTCATGTTTTCTGCAGGGTTAATGAAGGTAAATCTAGTATTTTACTGGAATGTTCATAAGTAAGCGCAGGTAATTGATCATGTGACCTGGCCTCACCTCTTGCAGGTGTCGTGTCGAGCGCAGCGGCTGAGAGGAACTCTGATGATGCAGCTGGAGAACGCCACGAACAGAGCGTGATGCTCCTTATCCAGCGCCAGACCCAGAACCCTGCGCTCACCGCTACACCTGCAACCACACGCCAGGCTTTACATCAGTGCGCCGGAGAGAGGTCATGTTCTATCTACAAGCTGAAGCGTACACTCAAACCTAAATATATTCAACATTTCTCACATTATCACAGTTTATTCGCTATAGTTTAGAAAATGGTAATAAATATGAGCAAGACTCAGAGTTCTCAGATCAGTGGATATTTGACTGGTTTTGTCCGTCCTTCTGTTAGACTCTCACACATGAAGTATGTTGAATATCTGTCAGCTGTTAAATTTAACTCCACAATTAGATAATACCAGTTTAGCTCAACCTGTGACCAAGCAATGCTTCATGTTGTTCAGTGTGTGTGTAAAAAGAGCATTAGCAATTACAGAAAACACACTTCAGCAAAACAGGGAATCATTTTTGGTCCCAAATTGTTATTAATGTCACTGGTAGTCACTGTATGAAGAATATTTGGGTGTAATATGTCACAGTTTACTTTATTTTGCTCTCCTCACTTACATAAATGAACTTTAGTGTCTTGCACACACTAGTGAAACATATCAAAAATGATATCTGGTGTGTGAATAGTTTGTGGTTTGCTGTATATCTTCAGACTGATGAGCTGTGGGTCGGACACTCACTGCGTGGGATTGAACACGTCGAGCTCCTCCAGTAGTCTGGACCCGTGCGAGCCGTTGGCTTGAGTGCTGGTCAGAACCTTCAAAACCTGACCGTCCTCAGAGCCCAGAAACACAACGCTGCGGTTCTTATGAGGCCCGGCGGCCGTATCCACAACTATCTGAGTCAGTTTATACCTGCACAATACACACTCATGTCAGTGTGTGTGTGTGTTGGGTAGGTTTATGGGTCGGGTTAGTGTAAAGGGACAGAATATACAGTTTGGACAGTATAAAAACCATTACCTCTATGGAGAGTCCCCACAAAGATAGTAAACCAGACATGTGTGTGTGTGTGTGTGTGTTTGTAGTACCTGCTGGCGGTGTTGGTGATCAGTGGTTGGCTGTTGACTGACGGCACAGACTCGTCCATCAGTGGGTGTGTCTTAATGAACGACAGCACAGAGTCTGGAAACTGAACAGAGGACGAGTAGGAGGACGCCGAACCTTCACCTGCACACGAACCCGGACTGAACACACACACGCGCACACACACCAGGGTTACTTTACTATCATTCATTGAGTTTTTGTTAAAAGCTTTGTTTGATATTTTCTGTTAGAAAATATCCTAGAAAGTGAGATTGTCTTGACGAACATCTCACCGTGGTTTGGGCACGTGCTCCTCCGGCACTGGCGTCCACATCGAGTCACTGTTCTTCTGCTCTTTAAACTTCCCATTAAACACTCGCTCGATGTCATCCAGATAAAACCCACAGACGGCTGAACCGGGAATGCTGAGACACACAGACAGAGTTAACACACATACGGTGTTTCTGTGCGAGTGTCTGTGAGTGTGTGTGTGTGTGTGTGTGTGTGAGTGAGTGAGTGAAGCCTTGTTTATACTCGACGCGTCCGCAAGAGCGCGAAGGTGCGCACGGCAAAATGATGTAATTGCGGTGTGGGCGGTCGTGCGCGTTGGGTGCGCAAGACCCCATTTCGCCTGGCGGTGTGCACGGCACTTTTTGTAACATCGCGCGCGGCGCCGCATCCGAAGATGAACGACTTCGAGCCGAATCAGGCCGAACTGGTACGTCTGTACCAGCATGTTTATGATCCTTCTATACACAGAGACATTTGCATTGATGGGCGACCATAAAAGCCTCTCATTTTGTGAATAGGAACACATTTGCATTAAGCACCCAGTTTGCACTCTAAAGTAACTGCTTACATTTATAAATAAGCCTACAATAGCAGAAGTAAGCCCTGCTGACGAAATTAAGGTTTAAACACTCTTCAATAAGGCTTCAGTTGTTTAACGAGTTTGTACAAGAAAGTACAATACACCTACTGCATTTATTACTCTTTTAATATGAATCAGCTATTAATAAACTACTAATAAACGGCAAACTACTTCTTCACTGCTGATTCCTGGTGGTCTAGAGGAGAATTACTCCGAGTCGCCCCCTGTCGTTTCACAGAATAGCACAACGGCGAGCGCGTCAAGTATAAACGCCTCGTCCGTTTGGAGAGGTGCGCGCGCAGTCAGCGGAGACTCGCGCTCGTGCGGACGCGTCGAGTATAAACAAGGCTTGAGTGTCTGTGAGTGTGTGTGAGAGGTGTGTGTGTGTGCACCTGTTGATCTGTGTGGTGAACACTCCCACCACAGCGGGCCGCTGGTTGATCTGAAGCACGTTAGTGAGCGACTGAAGCACGTCGAAGTAGAAGAACGTTTCTCCAGGAACTGAGCAGTTCAGCCGCGCCTTCAGGAACGACGTCCAGTAGCGATCCAGCACACGCGTGGAGCCGCCGCGGTCGTTCTTACACACGCGAGCCACGCGCGAATACACCACCTACAGCACGGGGAAGAGGAAGAGGAGAAGGACTTTGCTGCAAGTACACATAACATCCCAGCAAGCAATTCTGCGTTTAAAAGACGTCTAATCGCCGTCCAAACACAGCCCAGACGTCTAGGCTACAACTAGGCAGCATTTGGGCGGTCAGTGAAACTGTAATAGATGTCTAACCAGAGCCCAAGAATAGACTAGTCATCAGTTAGATAACAAGAAATGAAATGTGAGGAAATGAAATCAATCACCTTGTAATCACTGTTTATTTTGCTTACATGATGGAATATCAAACATCTCGCAAGCTATTTTGGCAAAAATGTCATTGAACTAAATTTACGTTTATTTTGTCTAGAAGTGATTTACTCATAGCCGCACTACATCGAGTCTATAGTTAACCGAGACGGTGGAATGACGGCTATTGCTTGCTGGGATGAGCACTTGTACGGTACGCTTCTGTTTGGGTCTCAGACACGCATGCTTCACCTTCCCAGCAGCGCTGTGCTCCACTGCGATCTCACTGAAGAAGAAATACACATAGTTCCCGTACTCTACCGCATGCAGGAAGTGAGGCTCTGCAGAGACAACACAACACAACTCAACTCAGGTAAAAAAATCGCTCAGTTAAAGGGATAGTTCACCCAAAAATAAAAATTACCCCATAATTTACTCTCGCTCAAGCCATCCTAGGTGTATATGAAGCACTTTTATGATGGATAGATGCACTAGATGCACTTTTATGATGGACAGATGCACTTTTATGATGGATAGATGCACTTTTATGATGGATAGATGCACTTTTATGATGGACAGATGCACTTTTATGATGGATAGATGCACTTTTATGATGGATAGATGCACTTTTATGATGGACAGATGCACTTTTATGATGGACAGATGCACTTTAATGATGGACAGATGTACTTTTTTGATGAATAGATGCACTTTTATGATGGATAGATGCACTTTTATGATGGATAGATGCACTTTTATGATGAATAGATGCACTTTTATGATGGATAGATGCACTTTTATGATGAATAGATGCACTTTTATGATGAATAGATGCACTTTTATGATGAATAGATGCACTTTTATGATGGACAGATGCACTTTTATGATGGACAGATGCACTTTTATGATGGACAGATGCACTTTTATGATGGACAGATGCACTTTAATGATGGACAGATGTACTTTTTTGATGAATAGATGCACTTTTATGATGGATAGATGCACTTTTATGATGGACAGATGCACTTTTATGATGGATAGATGCACTTTTATGATGGACAGATGCACTTTTATGATGGACAGATGCACTTTTATGATGGACAGATGCACTTTAATGATGGACAGATGCACTTTAATGATGAATAGATGCACTTTTATGATGGATAGATGCACTTTTATGATGGATAGATGCACTTTTATGATGGACAGATGCACTTTTATGATGGACAGATGCACTTTTATGATGGACAGATGCACTTTTATGATGGATAGATGCACTTTTATGATGGATAGATGCACTTTTATGATGGACAGATGCACTTTTATGATGGACAGATGCACTTTTATGATGAATAGATGCACTTTTATGATGGATAGATGCACTTTTATGATGGACAGATGCACTTTTATGATGGACAGATGCACTTTTATGATGGACAGATGCACTTTTATGATGGACAGATGCACTTTTATGATGAATAGATGCACTTTTATGATGGATAGATGCACTTTTATGATGGACAGATGCACTTTTATGATGGATAGATGCACTTTAATGATGGACAGATGTACTTTTATGATGGATAGATGTACTTTTATGATGGATAGATGCACTTTTATGATGGATAGATACACTTTTATAATGGATAGATGCAGTTTTAAGATGGATAGATGCACTTTTATGATGGACAGATGCACTTTTATGATGGATAGATGCACTTTTATGATGGACAGATGTACTTTTATGATGGATAGATGCACTTTTATGATGGATAGATGCACTTTTATAATGGATAGATGCGGTTTTAAGATGGATAGATGCACTTTTATGATGGACAGATGCACTTTTATGATGGACAGATGCACTTTTATGATGGACAGATGCACTTTTATGATGAATAGATGCACTTTTATGATGGATAGATGCACTTTTATGATGGACAGATGCACTTTTATGATGGATAGATGCACTTTAATGATGGACAGATGTACTTTTATGATGGATAGATGTACTTTTATGATGGATAGATGCACTTTTATGATGGATAGATGCACTTTTATAATGGATAGATGCAGTTTTAAGATGGATAGATGCACTTTTATGATGGACAGATGCACTTT